GGAGCCCGCCCCTCGGGGCCACGACAGGGCCAGCCCCACCCCCTCCCTGGGAGCCCTCCCCTGGGGGCCGCGACAGGGCCAGCCCCACCCCCTCCCCAGGGGCCCACCCCTCGGGGCCACACAGATCTGCCCTCTCCACCCAGGCCCTGCCCCTCCCCCTCAGGGCCATATAGTCTCTCCACACTCGTGGCCATGGCAACAGACCCCACAGTGGTCACCAGAGGAGGAGGCAGGTCCTGCCCAAGAGCTGGCTGCAAGAGGGCAAGTGTCCAAGCCCCATTGCCCCTGACAGACCCTGCACCAGGCAGTTTCCAGCCCCAAGCAAACCCAGGCTCACAGGCTGCCCCTTGTCAGGACACCTGGGTTCTCCTGGGTCCGGGGGCTGCCAGCCTCTTGCAGACACGTTTGGTCTTGGGAATGGATGTGGCACCCTGGAGCCCAGCCATGTCCCCACCAGCCCCTCTCTGGCATCTCCAGGGACCCTCCCAATCATCCCAACTACAGCACGCTGAGCCCTTCCCCGGCCCAGGTCCTTGGCACGTGGCCCGCTGCAGCATGCTCAGGTGCAGCTGGGTCTCTGCGAGGTCGGCCTGGCTGGAGGGGCGCGGGGGCTGGGCCCCACAGACCCCACCTGGTGGGCTGCCAGCCTGGCCAGGGGCGCCCGCTCGGGCTGCTGCATCCGGCACAGCTCCACCCTGCCTTGCAGGCACTTTCTCTTCTCCGACATGAGCAGCCTGTGCAGCAGCGTGCTGGGGCGCAGCCAGGCGGGGGGCCGGGCGCTGCCCTGCAGCAAGTGGGCCAGGCCAGGCAGCTCCCGCGGCAGGCGGTAACAGGGCAGCAGGCACAGGGCAGGCGGCACATCTCGCCGGCTGCACAGCTCGCCAAAGTAGGCCAGCGCCCAGTCGCCCAGCTGCCCTGCCCCCCCGCCCACCTGCAGCTCGCTCTGTAGACAGGACATGGCTGCGCCGAACAGATCGTGGGGGTCCGGAGAGCCGCTGCTGCCTGCGGCCGCCCCCAGCCACAGCTGGTAGAGCCGGGCGCTGCCCTGACTCCACAGGAGCAGCACGGTGCCCTGCTCCCGGGCCACCAGCTCCCGCTGCACATAGAGCCAGGGCAGTGCCCCCAGCCGCCCCACGCTGCCCGCCTCCCACAGGTCCAGCCGCACGTCGCAGCCCAGCGCCGAGCACAGCACGTCCGCCAAGGTGCAGACCAGAACCTTGTGCTCCTCGGAGTCGGGGGAATAGATCAGCAGGACGGGCCGACGGCCCCGCGGCGCTGTGGGGAGAGGGCAGGGTCAGTGGCAGGGTGCCCCCCGCCCAGGGCTCTGCAGAGGGCGGCTCCTGGGCAAAGCGCTCCAGGCTGCCTGGCTGACTAAGCCCTTCGCCTGGCTGAGCTCCCATGCAGGGCCGTCCCCACCCGGTCACCTCTCCTGCTCAGCCAGCAAGACCCCCACCCTGCTCCCTTCCCTGCCGCTTCCTGTCCAACTGTGTCTACAGCCCCCCAGGATCCTGTCTCCGCTCCCCGGATCCCAGCCCCCAGATCCTCATCAGATCCTGTCCCCTCCGCCCCCCAGGATCCTGGCCCCCAGCCCCTCTGCCCCCCAGGATCCCAGCCCCTCA